ATGACCGTAGGATATGAACTTGTGTTAGCTATAATTTTCCATCATATACTTGAAACATTTCTGGTAGAGCCGTTTACTGTGCCACTTCACTGCACGGGTCGAAGGAGATTTGCTTTTTCAAAATCAGATTCCGTCCCTGTCTGTTCTACGTGGAATTTGTGCCCTCGTGGAATGATTGGATCACGCTCAATTTTTGCATGCTTGTTTCACCAGCAGTCAGTGGAATGTGAGAACTTAACTACGTTAGATCATGGTCCCGTGCATTCAGTGTGTGAAAAAGATCCGTCTACTGTTCGGAAGGCTGCACGAAATTCCCTAGTCTTTCTGACGTAATCCCAGAGCTCAATTAGCCCTTGTTCGCGGTTGAAACCATTTTCCTTGTCACAGTAAATTGCACATTCAAAGGCCACAGAGTTTTTGGCTGCCAAAACAAGGATGTTTCTTGTTTCTTTTCTTCCATTGTATCCGAATTCGTCAGTTGTTGTGGGTGTTCAGCTCACGAGGATTTGGAACCTGATGTGATGCTCTCCCAGTTAGACCATGGATGCTACTTGTTATGAATTTAACGGGTTCATGAACACCGAGACGCAGGCTGAGTACTACTTGAGTTTGAACGATTGGTAAATGTCTTTCAGGGTTTGGATTTTTTTTATTACACATCTAAGTATGATGAACAGCAGACTGGGTGAACGCCACAGTCACGAGGGCCTGCTGTTCAGTGGTGGAAACCGGTAATCTAAGCCACGGGACTTGGACTGGCGAACCGAATAAGGCAGTGACGGGGCTCAGACCATAGGGTCCAAAGCACGCTGGTGACGGCGACTAAACCACTACCCGTCCTCGGACCAGACTTATTAGTTTAGCTTTCTTCATAGAAACGCCCATCCCTTTGGCCTCATTCACTGTCTAATTAGGTGTCGACAAATTCGGAAATCTGCACACAGTCCATGAAAATTTGAACTCTGATTCACATTTTAAAAAAATTAATTATAGACCAGGATCCGATCTTTATGTGATTCTCTTCCCCATGTTTTTGAACACCTCGTGTAGAGGGTCAAACTCCAGGCCTCTCTCCTACCGAACTGCAACAAAGTGTGACCACCATCGAGTGTTTAGCTCAACGGTTACATGTCAACCTGATTCATTTACGTGATCGAGTCGGTTCCGGTCCGGCCAGTCGTACTACTGTCCCCGTGCCCGCATCACCGAACCACACTCAGCCGAATGGATCCTCACCCAAATCTCCGTCCTTGACCGCTAAAACCAATCCGTCCGAACCGGACTGTGCAACTCCGACAGATTCGGATCCCACACCATCTGAGAAGAAGAAACGAGGCAAACGACGCGACCGTCTAAAGTCGGCCGGACAGAGTGAGCCAACCAGTCCTGAGTCGTCTACCACGGCTAATCATGTGAACAATACAGTCTCTACACCCGTCGGTGTGCCTGTCGTACGGGAATACCTTCTGCGACGTGAGACGCCTGCCGATGATTTTGTCGATGTCCGGTAAGTATGTGGTCCGTGATTTCCAGTCCGACTGTACACTTGTATCACAACCGGATTGCAAAAGATGTTTTTTTTCTTTCACTGTTTCAGGTGGTTTTGCATTACGCATCATTTGCTCTTTTAAGCCGGTCCCATTCAACTCCGTGTTTGTTATTGCATGTTTTGATGATTGATAACTTCACCGTTTTTGACGATGGCAGTAAAGAGGTATTAATGAACCCGAGACCATTCTGTATTAAACGGGTTCGCAGTGATCTTTCGGTTGTGATGTGATTTGCTTTTACCCATAAAACCGTTAATCTGAATACAGTTTCTGTGGGTGATTGGACGAAAGATTTATTTACTTTCGATAGCCGGAATTTCTTATTCAGACCCGGAGGAGCAATATTCAACCAATGTACTACAGCCCACCAATAATTGCACTACCCGGTGACTTGTTCGTACGTGAAAATTTTTAAACGAATACGTGGAAATTCTTGTGAGGATAGTGCCGAGTGGTATCTTCAATACCAGTCTGCTACTATCCTAAATGCTCAATCGAGGCTTCGGGCACAGGTTGCCTTAACCGAACAGTAGGTTCTTGTGACGAGAGGATTCACCCTCTCCTCTTGGTCGCTGTATCAAGGTGTGATAAAAAAGAAATCAGAATCCCATTATCTGAATCACCTTTCCCATATAAATCAGTTTACTACAGGAAATTTACTCTTCACCGTTGTCCGCGACCATTTAGTCGGTGAAGCAAGAGCTATTTAGTCATAATGTAGTATGTTCTACTCCGGGCAACGCCATTCCATTTCTTATGCTACTAGCATCCTCCCAAAATGCGGCACAATCCCTGACTTTCATTGCAATAGTAATTTATTAGTAAATTTCCTTTTCTACTCTCCGCTTGGGAGCATCCAGACCTTTGGCGTTCCATTATATTGCCTGTTACTGTCTAGCTGACTGTAAGCTATCAAAGGGGCAGTGTTGTGCTACATCGCTGCTTACGCTGAACCTCAGACGGGAATCTTTACAGGTATAGGCAACGGCTTCTGAGCTGAATGTTCTTAACAGCCACGTGATAGTGCTGCATTTTACACAACGGTTCGCAACGCACTGGTATCTTGATTCCTCAAGTCCAAAATCCATCTCATTAGCAGGGGCATTCTCCCTGTTTTTTTTAAATGTACAGCACGTTATTCAATTACCTATATAACAATAGACGCGTATCACATAAAACAGTGTAAACTGTCATAGCTGAGCAAATGACTGTAGGCAGGTAAAATACTCTGGTAAGTGTATGATGAAATTGTGCAATCGTCAGGAGCAACTAAAAGCTGATGAAATCGGGATGTGTGCGTGCGTGCGTGCGTGCGCGCGCGCGCACGCGCTGCGCGGATATGAATGGAATCAATTAGATTAACTAGTACTGATTTACGCGAACTGATTGGCATCAGCTGATTGGTGGCCACATGGAGAACACAAAAAATGAGCGCACTCAGACAGCAGTGAACACATTTCGCAATGTAAGTAGGGAGTACTCACGTGCTGTGTCGTTTGTTCTTCTTCAGAAACCCTTTGCTCTCTGTGAATGTCTGAACTAATTGAATACTATAAAATATTGCGCATTACGCTTCCTCCTCGTTTCGTTTTTATACTGAGCCTTTCAAAAAGAGAAAGATATGCTTTTTGTAGTATCACACGGTGTTAACCGTTGGCCATGTATCTAAGGGGGTGAGATTTTGGACACTCGACCTGAAGATCCGCTTTTTTAGTTCAGACAGCGACACAAACGTACGCACTCTTGACGAGTCCCAAACAAGACGAAGCAGCTGTCCAGTGCCCTTAGTCGGGCATCACAGAGATTCCCGTCACAGAAGTAAATGCTATCTAAAATTTGAACTCCATAAAAATAATTCAAATCTGACCGAAGGACAATTATTAATGCTCCAGTTTACATATCCAATACCCAGCAGATAAACAGTTGGTAGCGCAGTGATTTGGTCGCTGTCACCGGCGTGCTTTGGATCCTATGGTTCGAGGTTCGAGCCCCGCCACTGCCACCCAACTTTGGTGGTAGGCAGCTTTGCTGTTGTCCGGTTCAATACCATGCCCACCCTAGCAGGGCCTTATATGGTTCGCCACTCCAAGTCCCAGGGCTTGGGTTACCGGTTTCCATCACAGAACGACAGGTCCTTTTGACCATGGGGTTCTCCCCGTCTACTGTTCATCACAATTAGCTCCGTAATAAGAAAATTCGAGCTGAGTTTCTGTGTCTTACTGTATTACTGGAACGTCAGTCCGCTTGTGAACACCGCTATCATTGGTCTTTTTTTATCAAACTCGGACTAATAGGATTCAGGGCTCAGCCAAAGCTTTGACATTAGGGTTTACCCAGCCGGTTCCCATATCTGCACATGTCCTCGCTATGTTATGGTTGGACGTACGGTCGATGCGAACGCCTCGCGCAGCCCCCAACAGTCGCTCGGGGACACGACCGGAGAATCACAGCCAGTGTGTATTGTTGATCATGACGTGACCCCGGAAATATTATTGGGTAAATTGGGCGTACGAAAACGGCGTGGTGACGCACCAATCAGATCGCGTCCTTGACACTGATTGATCGATCGTACGATAGTTGTCTGATTTGCCGTAGTCATCCGATCTGGAATCGATTCACCTTGGGCGTCTCAAGCATACTTCTAGTGTGACGCGGATGCGTGCGCGGCTTGACGGATTCTGTGCGGCCCATCTTAACAGTCCTCACAATCGTATCATCTACTGTTCAGAACACTGGGGTATGTAATAAAAAAGCTCAGTGACCTCTTATTAAAGATTATTTCAGGAATAGAATAATGATCTGTTTACAACGCTGAAGCCATTTTCTACAAGCCATGTTATGGATTGAGTTCGTTGACGTGCTTGCCAGTACAACTGAAATAAATTGACTCTGGTCAGTCGTGACGGAACTCTAAACGGATTCCTTAGCTCGCCAGCAACCACTCGATGACCGGTTAAACTAGAAGACTTGTGGTTGCAGCAAACGTAGTAGTAGTAGTAGTACCGTAGCACGCAGCATATCCCGGTGCTCGCTAATGTCAGTTTCCGTTAAAGCACAATGGTGATAAAAACCGCCGAGTGAGATAGCATACAAATGAAACGAAAGCGAAGTGTGTAGGTTCTCACGTGGAAAGAAACAGTGTTAAACAGATTCCATAATGCGTTGATACTAGGGTTAAAATAAAGATGGGTTTTAGACAAAATGTGATGTCTGACAAGTGCAAGATGTCCGAATTTTAAATGTTTAAATGGTCCCACAGAGCTCATAATAAGAACACAAATTGGCAAACAAACCCGTTTTCAGTGTGTCTTAATCATGCCATTACAACACAATAAATATGACTCGTATCAAAGAAGGGTTTACAAGGAAAAAAAGAGAGGGAAAGTAATTAAAATATTCAATAGTTTGTTCCATAATTGGTCCCCAATTATCACTTGCTCCAATGTTGCATGACAAGTCACTTGTCGGCGATCCGGTCATGGGAGCTTGAGTGCTTGCACAAATTGTTTCTGAGCACACAGAGGGGGGTTGTGAAGACGGATGGAAACTGCCTCCGCTGTGGCTAAAATGCGAAACCGCGAAACAAACTCTTGAATACTTTAATTACTTTCCCTCTCTGTTTTCCTTGTAAATCCTTTTTTGATACTAGTCATATTTATTGTGTTGTAATGGCATGATTAAGACACACTGAAAACGAGCTTGTTTGCCAATTTGTGTTCTCACTGTCCGAATTTCTCCCTTCAGTCGGCCACATCAAACATTCTCCTGTTTGAAAAGATATGCTTTCAAAAGAATTGTTCCATTTATTTTTTTGCGGTAAAGTTTACTTGTTTGGGTGACAGTGTTTCTGCTTTATTCTCTTTGTTCGTTTTTCGCGCATCTGTTTCGTCATGGGAATTAAATACTGTGAATTAACTGATGTTTAAGTGCCAAACGGCAGCACTTGGTGTTTTTCCTGTTATTTTTCTTTACTCCTGTCCTTCTCGATTTCGACTGACAATCCCTCAGACGTGTACTTTTTGTATTTGAACTCTGGCATGTTATACGCAAAAAAGAAACCACCACTGGGTAGTGCCGCAGTGGTCTGTTTTGGACCCCATACTCCGAGGTTCGAGCCCCGCCACCGCCACCGCCACTAAACTTTCGGTTGTAGACAGCTTTGCTGTCGTCCAGTTCAATACCACGCCTTACTAACTGGAGCCTTAAATGGTTCGCCACTCCAAGTCTCAGGGCTTAGGTTACTGGTTACCATCACTGAACAGCAGGTCTTCTTGACTACGCGGCTTTCCCCGTTTGCTGTTCATCACACATCGGTGTTTAATAAATAAAATTCTAGCAAACAACAGAATGAGGACAAAAATTGATGACTGTACAAAAGCGCGAACTTAGTACTATCGAACTCATTGAACCGCTCAGAACGGATTTTAACTTTGTACTGGAACCCGGAGACAAGGTGAGATATCAATTAGATAATGTAACCGGATATGCGAGATGCAATTAGTAGTCGATATTGTGAGCGGTCAGATGAATGGGATTTGCATGTAGAATGGTTCAATGTGATGAATGGTTGCGGTCGGGGAAAATTTTGTTTGCAGGCGGGCATCAACTTGTCGGCCACAAAAATTGCGTATCGGTACATGTAAGGAAATTCGGTAAATAGGGTTTGACAGTTAAAAAGCTACACTTCAGTAACTTGAAATCAATTTTCAGCTTCAGCTTGGAGAATCAGTTAAGGAGAATAAGGGGTGCACACTGCTGAACGGAAAGTCTTGTCACTGACTAATTTGTGTGAAAAAGCTGCGACCTTCCGTTTTGGAAGGTAAGTCCTTTCAGTTTACGACCAACTGTCTGTGTATTTAGGGACAAATGAAGACTAATTTCCACGGTAACACCTAACTACTCCCCATGATTGACTCTGCTCATTGGCTTTCGTTTAATCTGTACATTTCCAGCTGTAGATGGAGGGTTGTTTTGGGGGTAAAGACATTTGGGGCATTTATCGGAGTTGAGCTTAACACCGGACAAAGTGACGTACGTGACGAGACGACAAACGTTGCTGCTGTAAGTTTTCAGTTCGGATTTACTCGAAGTAGGAATAACAGTGACAATATAATCAGCATGCTTAGAAGAGTGAACAAGGGGGGGGGGCAGGTAAGTCACAAAT